CCATGGTTTTGAAAACCTCTTTTGCAAAGTATTCAGGGCTGAAGAAACTGCTGTTCTTTGGGTGAAATGAAAGAAGAAATTGGCTTTAGACAGGCAAGTGGTACTGATAATGGGATTCTGAGAGTTATGAATTTTAAACACTGAGGTAAAGCACTGTGGTCTCCAGGGGGATGTAAGCATCACCTCACTGAATAGGAATGAGGCTGACTTCGAGGAGCCTTACCTTTCCTTTCTTAGCACCACGCATTTGGAAACTTTCCACTTCAAGTTTTCTAAGATTTGAATGATACACAGATATAATTAAATTTCCCTGGCAAAAAGCTCCAGAATTAGACTGTGGAAGTATCAGCGATGCATATCTTGACCTCCCAGAAAAGGACTGACAAAGGAGGACAGGCAGAGGAGGAAAACCCAGAGATATAACACCAGCTGTAGCACTGTACTATGGCCCTTAGAAGAAACAGGCTTCCTTAACCCTCACACTGCCAAGGCCAGTATGGAAGACAGATATCATCTTTATTCATTATAGCAATAACCAAGCTCTTGGCAGGAATCAGGATTTGGAATGGGCTGTTCTGCTTGCCAAGGGCCTGCCTCTTGGCCCTCAGGCCTGGGAAGCATCCAGGCTCTTGGTGTGTGCTGGACACATCTTGCATGGCCTCAGCAGGTAAACCACTTGGGAACACCAGGGCCTTGGCCTTCTGTGGCCCCCACCAGCACCAGTGAGAACTCCCATATGGGAGACGGATGCAACATGAATCCCATGTTGGTCTTTCTGTGCTGAATAGCTGTATATGGATGTGTAACTATGTGTAGACAGCACAACTCTCATCAGAGGGTGTGCTGGCAGCTCTAGATCCCCAAACCACCTAAAGGGCCCCTGGGTAAGGAGCAGGCCAGAGCCCTGCAGGACAACCGGACACACCTTACTGGATACCGCAACTACCCTCTCTTGGGCTCACATGTAGGTGAGCATCAGGGCTGTTCCTCTTCTAGCTCATGCCACCAATGTGTTAGAGAGATCTCATGCTAATTCGTGATGCAAGAGGGAGATTAAATTCTAAGATACAGACACTGAAATAGAAACAACAGGAAAGTAAACCTAAGAAAATAAAAATAAAGATAAACACACAGTAGAACATAAAATATACAAGAATGAAGAAAACCAACAAAGCACAAGCTAGAACTTGAAGATACTAAACAAGTGAAGAAATGCCTTATGAGATTAATCAAGAGAAAGGAGAAAAGCAAATAAACAGAGGAGTACAAAGGGGGTCGACCAGAGATAAAGGAGATGAGAGAAGGTAAGCGTGCTCTGTGTACTTCAAGGGGACAAGTGATCAGCACCCAGTGAGACAGCTTCCTGCAGCTAATTCAGGAAAAGACAGGTAAGGCACACAATTTCATCAGCAAAGAAATAAATGAAACCGGGAATTAAAACTTAATACACAGAATCCCACAAAGCCTCATCAGTGATAGAAATGAATTCTACTCAGGTACCCAAAGAGCAACAAATTGTTCCAGAAACAGAAAATTAGGGTGTGCTCCTTTACGAGGCTAGTATGAATGTGATATCTAAACCAGACAAGGGTAGTAGATGACAGAAAGGTTATAGCTCAAATTCACTCCTAGTATAGACAGGGAATGCTCTAAATAAAATACTGACAAACTTAAATTCATCTGTGTTAAAATTAACCAAGGTGGGTTCAGACAGAAACACATGGATGGTTTAACAAGACCCCCTAATTATGTAATTTGCCACATTAATAGAGTCAAAAACATAGGACAAAGTCAAAACACATAGAAAAAACTTCTATGAGATTTGTTTCACTTGTGAAAAAAAAAATCTTTTAAACTAATTAGAATAAATGGGAATTTCCACATATAGAAGTTTTGACCAGTGAGAGTAGACGGGCATTTCTAGACATGGATAATGTATCTACCCAAAGCACATACAGCAAACATTGCTGTTAAAGGTGAAAGCGGCTGGGGTTGGAGCTCAGAGGTAGAATATTTGCCTTAGGTGTATGAGGCCTTGGGTTGTGTCTCCAGCAACCAAGCAACTGAAAAAAAAATGCAGGAAGCTATATAGTTAATCTTTCCTCTTTTTTTTTTTTTTTTTTTTTTGTCTTTTTCCTTTTTATCAGTACCAGAGATTGAACTCAGACTACCTGCTTGCAAGGCAGGTGCTTATGCCGCTGAGCTAAATCCCCAGCCCCTATCTTTCCTCTTCTTTTAGGGATAAAACAAAGACACTTGAATTTTCGTGGGGGGGCTAGCAACAAGAGTTAAATGAGAAAAAAAAGGTACTGCTTAAAATTACAAACACCCTAGCAGGGCGCAGCAGCACACATCTTGCAGTGCTCCCTACTCAGGAGGCTGAGGCTGGAGGATCATTTGAAGTCAGCCTGGGCAACTTAGCAGGTCCCTCTCTCAATACAAAGAAACAAACTAACTAAGGTACCATGAATAAATTGACTGTAACTTTCATACAGAAAGTTATAAACTGTCTTAAAGGTCACTAAGGGAGATTTAAATGAAGAAAAAGACACCTGGGCTGGGCTGCGCGATGCAATGTTGCAAAGACATGAGTCCTCCCAGGTGGCTCATCAACTCAAAGCACTTCCAAACAACACTCTGATCACGGAGTTGTGGAGACAGAAAAGCTCACTGCGAAGTTTATATAGCAGAGCAAAGCATTAAGAATCATCAAGAAAGTGTGGAGGAACAAAGTGAGCCTTGTTTCAGTATCTGTCTCCACTCAACTCGGGGCTCTCTATTTAGACTGCAAAACCACTGGGGCACACAGGACCAGTTCCCTACAGCATGGGAGCTTAATAGGAGGACACAATGCCAAACATTCCTTGGAGGTTGTGAAGAACATGGAGACAACTAGCGAGGCCTGTGGGGAGAAGCAGGGATAAGGCTTCCCTCTCCAAGTCTGTGTAACCATTAGCATAAAAAAGAAAATTAGGGGCTGGGGATTTAGCTCAGCGGCATAAGCGCCTGCCTTGCAAACAGGCAGTCGTGAGTTCGATCCCTGGTACCAATAAAAACCGAAAAAGCCAAAAAAAAAAAAAAAAAAAAAAAAAAAAAAGAAGAAAATTAAAAATTTCAAAATATCAAGACATCAAAGAAAGAACAAATTCAAGAGACAAAAGGCACAAGCTAAAAGAGGAAAAAAGTGTAAAAGTTCTTTGGTACTACAAACATCAAAAAGTCACAGATGAGGAGACGTATTTAATGGTATACTCAATCACGAATCAGAACCCAGAGCTATAGTGGACGCCTACAAATTAGTGAAAGACCAGTAACACAAGGCAACATCTGAAAGCATTTAGCACAGTTTGCAGAAGTGGAGACACACAGGCCCATCCACAGGCCTTGCCTCACTTCAACCAGCGGAAATATGAATTACTCCAGCATACTCCCTCTACATATACTGACCGCCTAATATGTGTTAACTAAATGTGGGCATGGCTAGAGACAGAACTGGACCAAATACATGGTAGGTACAGGAAAAATCTGGTGGTAGAGTTCTTAGGAGAAAAACACAGCAGGAAAACAGACAGAGTCAGAAAGCAAGTCTACGCTGGCATGTGGCTGGGAGGTTTCTATGGACAAGCCAAGTGACAGGATTCTGGGGGACCAAAGAGCAGTCAGGTTCCTTGCAGGGGCCAGGAAGGATGGAGGCAGAAGATAGTCCAGGGCTTAGGAGCCTGACAGGGCAGGTGGTAGAGAAGGGGGAGAGGTATTGGAGATCAAATCCCAAGCTTGCTTACAATTTAGATTTATTTATTTATTGTCGTCTTTTCGAGACAGGCAGGGTCTCATTCTGCACTTCAGGCTGGCATTGAGCTCACTCTGTAGCCCAGGTTGGTCTCAAACTCACAAGGATCCTCCTGCCTTAGCCTCTCACATGCTGGGATTATAAGCATGAGCCACCACGCCTAGCCCCAAGTTTGCTTATAAAACCAAGAGAGAAAAAGAGAAAATCAGAACTAGCCTTGGTGCCCCTCAACAGGTGAGCAAATAATTAAATTGTGGCAAAAACTGAAGGTGGCTGAACAAAACTGAGATGACACCCAGGGGTAAATACAAACACCAAAGTGGAATAAAGACACAGGCTGAGGTCACATGTCATACAGTGGCATTAAAGCAAAACTGAAGGCCTCCAAGGGGCCCTGGTGCTAGCCAGCGATCCTGGGATTGAAGGACAGAAGGAGGGAGTGGGATGGGGCTGCCACTTTCTAATTTTCTATGTTGGAAATAGCACACACAGGTGTTTTTTTTTTTTTTTAAACTTTAATCTCTGTCATATTTATATGTCCAAATTATTTCTTAATTTAAAAATTCCAATGAATCCTAAAAACCAGGGGTTAGAATAAGGGGAAAGGAGGCTTCCCGGTTAAGTCCTAAATATTTTGCAGCAATCTGAAGATGAACACAGTCACGTGATGAGGAAACACAGTGAACTCCCATTCCTCCATCTGATGACAGCACCCAAGGGGTCAGACACTTCTGAGCAGTGAGAGTCAAATGCTGGAATGGTGGAGGTGGGGTGTGTGGAGGGAGTGCCAAGGGCCTTCAAAGAAGGGCCTTCTCCCTGGGGAACCTGCTCTGCCTCTGCAACAGGCTATTAATCTCTCAGGTTGATTCTGTAGGGCCTTCTGGGCACTGCAGGGCATGGTCCCTAGCCTCCAGCCACTTGGTGCCAGCAGTGCCCAATTCTGTTCCCACGTGACAGCCAGCATGAGTACTGGGAACCACCAGCCAGAACCACCATTCCACACTCCTGGGGGTTTGGGACACATCCAACAAAGATAGATGGATGTTCTGGCAGCCCTCCTGCAGGACACGTGGCCTGGCTTATGCACCCTTAGACTGGCCTACAAGCCAGTTTCACGGTTAGACATGCTTCTTGCTTCTGTATGTCCTAGTTAATACATTCTTTTCTGTCCAAATAAAATCGATCAGGCCATTCACATGACCCGACTTACCAATAAGGGAGTTGAGTGCAGAGTAGGAGCTCACACGGCGCATTTTGTCGATGGTCTCGAAGGACAGGATGTATTCCTCATTCTCTGGACTGCCCAGGGTGCTGCTAGCGCTGCTGCTAGTGCTGAGGTTCCCGGGAGAGAAGGCCACTGCACCACCCGCTATCGGAAATGACAGGGACAGTGTCTGCATGGTGCCAGAGCCTTCTTCCTATCACACAGTTAAGGGTCAACTGATTGAAAGGTGTCTTCTGAGAAGACACATGTTCTTGTGCACACAGACATACATGCCTACACAGATGCAGAGGTGCATGTGTACACACAGTTACACCACATCCTGATCTCAGCAACTGTACTCCCAGCAGAGCTAAGGGAAGCCAGCTGTGCTTGGGCTTCTTTCTACAAGCCTGGAGTTGCACCTGCACATTCTGGGTTCAGAACTATACCTATGCTACACCTATGTCTATGAGGAAGAGTTGAGACCCAAGAACAGCTGGCCAATCACCAGTTTATAGTAGGGACAGAGGCAGAGTGGCCTTGCTTAGATAAAAGCTTCATAAAGCTACACCTCAAACCCTTCCAACCCAAGCACCCAGTTTCCAGGGTCTTACATTCTTCTGTCAAACTCAGATTTTGCAGAGACTTGTTCAGGCTCCTTGCTGTGGTGACAGCTCGAATGTTTCCATAGGAGCTCACAGAACGAAGTTTGGGGGTGCATGGACTATCTCGCACTGGGGTCAAACTCCCCCCCTCTAAAAAAGAGGAAGAAGGAAAAGAATTAGTGAGAGACTTCAGGGTGGGAGGATGTTGCCTCCCCTGAGGCTGCTGCAAGGGCTACAAGGCCAAGCATGGAAGACAGGAAGGGCATCTCTCTCAGTGAGAACCTGACATGAGCCTGAGATCCCTCGGACAGAGAACCGACAGTCTATAGTCCTATTACTAAGTTACAAGAGATGACACAGGATAGTACAGCAACTGCTCCGTAAGTCTACGTGAGGCGCTCAGTGGTGCAGGGCCACTCCCCTGGCAGCAACAGCACAGCAATGCCTGGTTCCACTGCTAGACACCAGCAGGACCCTCAGCGGCAGCCCTACCCACTTCCATTCCACTAGGGCTTTCTTCCACAAGTTTATTCCTCACCTCCCCCACCCACTGCCTAAAAGCAGGAATGCTTGGTTATCCATCAGAAGCCCTCATTGTGATCTGGAGGGTGGGACAGTGCACAGGTGATGAAATATAAGTGTAAAAGATGACTGGATCTTCCTGTGAAAAGGACAAATGTGAGCAGAGGAGCTTCCTAACATGACTCACTGAAACATGTACGATACTGATTCAATTGCTCATCACAGGAAGATGGCTAATGTTCTTTTCTGTAAACTACTATTGAAGAAAGTTTACTATCCTTCAGGCTTTCCACAAATTTCATTTCCAAAATGGGTAAAGATAAACGAAAAGAGTGAGAGGGTCAGGGTGGCCTCTTTTCCGGTCCTTTGTATTTTTCTAAATGTCCAAGACAATGGGAATGTTGGAGATCATCCAGAGCAAGGTGCCAAGGAACCCACGCTCGGCCTTGGCCTGACCATAACTGCTGACGGTTCTGGCAAAGTCTGGGGAGGGTCTTTGGCTCTCAAGACCTGAGGTACCTGTGGCTGCTGGAGAAGGCAGGGGGTAGTTCTTTTCCTCTTCCATGAACTGTAGGGCTACTGTGCAGAAATTGCTCTCATACTGAACCACCAGATGACTGAGAGCCACTACTAGCTCCTGCCAAAAAAAGAAGGCACAGTTACAGCGGCTGGGAATGGACTGGACAGGAGACCCACAAGCTAAGCCCAGTGTTGAATTGCAAACAGGAAGAGGAAGACTCTGGCCCTGGCATCAGAAACCAGCATAGATGCAGCTTTGGAACAAGCGGTGTTGTCAAGGCTGCTGGCCAGTAGCCTCTGAAGGGCCTCCCAGGAGTGTCCTGCACACCTGCCAGAACCTGCTTATTCACTGCTAAGGAGGAATGACCCAACCTGAGAATTTTTGAGGCATCTCCAGAGTGGGTGAGGTATGAGATTTCATGGCCTCTTGTTTACAATTAGTCCTGCAACCCTGGGCTGGAAAATATATCTCTCAAATTGACCCAACAGTCCAGTGAGCCAGACTAGAAGAGGACATATCTGAGAAATGCAAGCAGGCTCTTTTCATTAAGGGCAAAATGATCATAGCTAAACCATGACCTTAAGAGGAAATGAGAAAAAATCCTAGAACAAAAACATGATCTTTAGGCCTAAATGGTCCAGTCCAAGGAAACGGGCATCACTCTTAGGAGATTTGCATTTCTTTTAGGAGATTCAGTGCTACAACATGAGCTCTTGGATGTCTGAAAAACCTTTAGGGAGATAAAATCTGAATGCAGGTTTATCAGCGAATACTTTGGGGATGGATTATAGCTCAGCAACACAGAGCCCTGTCTGGCAAGAGCGAGGTTGTGTGTTCAATTCCCAGGACCATAAAAAAAGTGAATACTTTTCCCTAATGCTATTCATGTAGCTTTAACTCACCCCTCTTTAAAGACAGATTAGTAGAAATTCAGTATCTAGGACAAGGCTGAGAGAGCTCTGCTGAAGTAGTCAGGTCTCCCAGGGAACCAGACAAAATGGGCTTTGGACAGGCACCCTTGGATCCCTTTGTGGCTCCTCTCCTCTCCTGCCCTGTCCTCCCCTCTCCTCTCCTCTCTTTTCCTCTCCTTGATGTTCTCTCCTATCTCAGCTTCATGAGTCCTTGGCTTCCACCTGTCACATTTTCGATGACTTTATAACTTAACCCCATCCCACCCCTTCTCTCCTCTGGCTCCAGGTTGGCCTTCCAACCTGGAGGCTCAGAGGCTCCATCTGAGCCCCAGACTCATCCTGCCCAGTAATCTGCTGATACCTGTGTTTTCCATTCACACTTACCGGCCACCTCTTGATTGTCCAGGGAAGCATAAATCTTATCACATAGGTTAGACTATGGCATTATACCCACCAGCATCGTGGTTGAGGCTGACTGCTCTGGGGCATCTGCCACGTCTCCACAGCCTCTACCAATACTGCATAGCTAATGCTTGCCTCTAACTTTCCAGTCTATGCTGCAGACTCCCTGGTGATCATCAGGTCCCACCCCACTTGCCTTGTGCAAAGGAGTATGATGTTGCCCAGTGGACCCCTGAATAAAGGAACACCCACAGGATTCCTCCTGGTAAGGGGAGACTGTACCTAAGTCAGGAAAGCTCTGATCTCCCTCACTTGGATATAAAGCAAGAAAACCTAGTGTTGGCCCTAAAAGAAATTAGTGCACACTGAGGTCTCAGCCCATTGGCTGCAAAGGCCATGGAGGGAGAGAAAGCCCATTGTTCCAGAGAAGGATAAGAGTGTAGCTCACTGCCAGAGAGACAGCCTGCTCATTGTGGGAGGCTGTACTACCAAGCTATAAAGGCTGCCTATTAGTAGGTTTTGTGTTCCTAGAAGATGAGGCTACTGTCCACCTCTGCATTCTGAAGCCCAGTATATGCGGAGCTCAAGTGTGAAGCTCAGAATGAGTGAACAAGTACAGACAAGGGTCCTTCCCAGTGGACTACAGACGGCTACCTCTGGGTCAGCAGCAGCTCTAAGGCCTAACTGCTCTCACAGCCAACAGTGTCATGGCCGGAGGCTCTGAGGGCTGGCCACACCGAGCTGCCCAGGGTGGAGTTGTGAGCTATCCTTGAATATGCCAGGACCTGCACTTTTCAAAGGGACAGCAGCAATCACAAGCAGAAAAAGAACAGATGATTTGAAAGTTTAAATTTTTAAAATGTTTTCATTTTATTAAACTGTTCAAGGGTAATGATGAATAGTGCATATAGGGCCATGTGAAGGTGCTTGGATGCACTGGAAGGCTTGCACCTGACATGGGTTCCTGAGGGACCACTCGCTTGATACTGGACACTTAGAGGGGCACTTCAATTACCATCCTATTTTTAAATTGTTTTTGGAAAGAAGACAAAAGCCTGTCCTTACTTAAAAAAGAGTTTTTACTGCCGATAAAAATACCAATCTGCTGCATTTTTCAGTGATGTCCACTTGAGGCAACCTGATATGGGACGAGGAGTCACTGGGCACAAGCTGAAGGGAGCCAGGTCTAGAGATGCAGCTAACCACAGAACTCAAAGACACCAGAGTCCTGGGGCGGGGCCGCTGGGACCTGACTGTCCATTTTAAAAATCTCATTACAAAATCTGGCATAAGGACCTGAGCTGATTTCAGAAGAGGACACAAGATATAATGCATCCTCCCTTTGTGAGCCTGGGGGCAGCGATGTGCTCAGACATGTCCCTCCCAAGTCAGTCTGGTGGCCTGCTCCCCAAAAGGACAACCCTAGAGCCACAACCCTGAGGAAGCCGAGTATAACTGCTCAGAATCACTGACAAGGAAGCTAGTGATACATAAATCTGTGGTTTTCTATGGGCCGTTTTGCTTCCCCACCCCAAAAAACATGCTCTGCTCAGAAGTACCCTCTGGGTTTGCCATGAGACCACCAGAAAATCAGTGTTTCTCCCCAACACACTTTTCTATCTGGGACAGGAGTAGGAAATTCAGTTCATGTGGAATAAGCTTCTTACAGAGGTTGAAACATGGACAATAATCCGTGATACTTCTATGTCCAAATGAGTAAGAGTTTTTAAGTGTACAAAACTGCTTCATGCCATCACTGGCAAAGACAAGTTATAGGATATATTGTATAAACCTGCTGCCATCTGTGGGGGCCACTGCTGTTTAGGGGTATGAGACATTTGTATGTGACCTAGGCAGGAAGGGGGCAGTCATATGAGCCACACAAAGCACAGCCTGCTAACCACCTCCAGGCGAAGCAGGCACATGAGTGTCTGGTGATGAAACACACTGGAGAATCTGTGCCTCACGATCTACATTTGCATGCTGCACACAGAGGGAAAGTGTGCATTTGCTGCTTCCGACAGGACAGTGCTGGCTTGGCCCTGGTGATGCAGGATACCTGCAGCTGGTTCAAGAGCTGGGGCCACATACCTTCCGGACCATAGGGCTCCCGTCATTGATCAGCTGGGCCAGCATCATGGCTACATTGTGGTCAATGGTGGTGGAGTGGTCTGTCCTTTCAGCAGAGTTGCCCACAAATGTGCCAAGTGCAAAGACGGCTGCACAGCGGACCTGCACGACAGAGGACAGACAATCACAGACATGCCCACGGCTGGGGTGTCTATGTCTGCATTTCTAATGAGACTGCCTACGAGTTAATTCAATTCAGTTCAGATAAACGCAGCTCAACTCAATTCTACAAGTACTATTGAATAGCACTCTGAACCCAGAGCTATACTTGTATTGATGGAGCAGATACAGGAGAGGAAGCCTGGGGGAACCAAAGTAGGTGTCATCAAGGCTCCAGTTTATGAGCTGAGAGTCAGGGAGCTGAAGCAGGAACTGCATTTCTTCTGGAATTGATGGGCCAGCCAAGTACTACAGGATTTGTGGCTGAAAGACAGGTGTTCTGAGGAGAAGGCTAGGCTGGTCATGGAAAAGTGGAAAAAGCAAGTGGTGAAGGCATGGGCCTTGGAGACAGAGACAGTCAGAGTGGAGATCTAGAGTGGGCCAAGCCCCTGAGGCCTGAGAGGGAGTGAGCGAGTAACACAAGCCCTAGCCTTGTCAGCCCTCGCCTCCAAGGTTGTGATCCTGGAGTGGGGCTGGGGGAGAAGTTAGTCGGACCTTCTGTTTCCTTATCTCTAACAGGAGCACCACAACCTATCCTGCATGAGGCTGTGGGAAGATGCAAGGAAATAATGTACAAGAATCCCAGAATTTCAATAAATGGTACTAAGACTTTGCCCTGTGGAACAGTTAGTGAGCTCACACACTTGGATGGATTCAGAGTCAGTGATTTAGGATGGGAAGCCTGGAGGCCCTTCACTCCCACACTATGAGCATCTGTCACCTGGGGTCCATGTCATGGACAGCAGGCTTCGGCCCTGAGATTTCCACTCTGCACACAGGAGGTAGCAGGAGTGCCTGGGCCCAGCACTCCAGTCCAGGGTGGCTGCTCCTGAACCTGTGTACCACGTGTTCCTTTTAGTTTACATGTGGACCCCGCAGGGGCTGAGCCTGATGAAGGAGCAGAGCGTGGGAGGGCGAGGAAACCAGGCTATCACTCCTTAAGAAGAAGGCCTCCAGGAAGGGTTTTGCCTTACAGAACTGCCCAGACACTACTGGTGATATATACCTGTTCTCAGTCAGGGGCCAGACCTCAAGCACGCAGGAGAGGAGGGACCAAGCGCTGTGTATTTCCCCAACTTGGGGATAGGCAAGAGCCCAGATCCTCAGCACCATGATGAACAGCATGAATGAGCGTGGCAGCAGGAAAAGCATAAGGGTCTTATGTTCCAGAAAACCCTGTTTGAAGACTCAAAGCTTGGGCATCTCTCCCTAGCCAACCTGCATGTCATCAGAGGCCCTCTGTCCACCTTTCCCTGCATTTTCTTGGAGGTGAGGCCAAGGTTCATGCTGCCCATGAACAAGGTGACCCTCTCCTGGCCCTATCCCTTGAGGCTCCCTGCCTCCCAGAGGAGCCCAAACTCAGCTATTCCTCAAGCCACTGTTAGCAGCCTATGAGGCCTCTGTGTCCCCAGATTCTCTTACTCTAATGTACACTTCTAATGCCATGGCCACTTGTTTCCCTATCAAGAGCACAGGATTGATGTACTGTGCTACTCCAACACTCACGGCTGGCCCAGCCATAGCATTAATACTAACAGGTACTAGAAAAGTTTAATGATCAAAGGGCCCAGGTTTACCCTGGGAGGCTATTTATGTCCACTGTGGTTACTAGTCACCATGTGGCATGGGTGAGGAAGCTGTGAAGACATCATAGCAAGTGCATGCTTAACCACAGGAAAACCTCCATTTTCTTGCTAAACAAGCCTATCTAATCATTTCTTCTCTAACTCCCTGTCTGCAGTATCCAACCTATAAGCCTGGGTCTGCATGAAAACGCCAACCTGATCCCAGTGAGCTCTGCCCAGCCCTATCCTAAGGCAGGTAGACACAACCATTCCTGCCAGCTCTTCTGAGCCTGGCAGATTTCTTAAGCACTTTCCAAATGGTACCTCATTTTTCAGAGCCACGTTTGTTCTTTTCATTTCAAATCCCGGTTTTCACTCTACCCCATGTTTACATGGTTTAGGGAAACTGGTTTCCTATCTGTGTTGAGTCCACATGCAGCTGAGGTGAGGGCAAAGAGGAGACTGGCGTGTGGTATTACGTGCAGCCAGTGTGACAGGGCCAAGCTTCAAGGCCAGCCCAGGTTGTCCTGCTTGGCCTCAGGTTGAGTGCGTTTCCTCTGACCAATCCTCGGTTACCTCAGGGACACTGGCTTTGCCTTCTTGGGCTGTGAGGATACTTGGACCAACTCTGTGCCACTTTGGGTGAACAGGCACCTATGCTGCTTCTCTAGCTGGCCTTAGTCCTGAGGAGACATCTTGTTTATGTCCTAACTCCCTCTAGTTCCTAATCTGCTACTCACATCTTCAGTATAATGTCTTTTTTTGTTTGTTTGTTTTTCTTTTGGTTTTTTTGAGGCAAGGTTTCACAATGCAGTTCAGGCTGGCCGTGAATTCACTCTTTGGCCCAGGCTTTGCAGCCATCTTCCTGTCTGTGTCTCCTGACAGGAAGGCACGGGCCACCACGCAGCTTCTGTATTTTTGGTTGATGCCTTCAGCCCTTTTGAGAACAAGCTATAAAATAATTAATCTATTTCCCTGAGGAAATCTTTTCATGAAGAACTCTCACTTTCAAAGGGCCTGACTATGTCCTGGTCCCCAGAGGGCATGAAGGCAAGTGGCCTGCAGTGTTGCTGGCCCCTGGCAGCTGACTCAGGGAAGCTGGAGGGAATGCAGGTGACAGGGTTCAGCTTCACCTGGGGTAGGGGACCTCATAGAGCCTCTCTGAGCTGCTCTACTGGGAAAGGAGGTGGGTGGAGGGTCCTGGGGGCAGACTGCTCCCCTACCAGCTAGCTGAGGAGCCCACTGAGCTCCTGCGCAGGGTTGGAAGCTGGCACCTCGCCTGCAGGGCAAACACTGCCCAGCATCTGTAACCTCTCAGAAGCAAGGAGGAGGCTGAGGTACTGGCCTGGCCTTGTTCCCCTTCAGTACAGCAAAGATGATGTGCCCCAGGGCCCATGGAAGCTTGCAGCTCTCCACAGATTATGAGCACTGGCACTCCATCTGCATGAGAAGTCATTAAGCACGAGGTCCCCGTGTCCCATTCCTGTGAACTGTGTGCAGCCCTGAACTTTGCAGATGTAAAGTTGTGCTGGATTTGAGTGGGCTCTGTGTGCTGCTCCTGGGATCTTGTCACGAAAGGCATCCCAAGGGGACCTGCAGACCTAACACCCAGACCTGGTTTGGAACCACCCCTTGAGGATGACTCACCTCAGGGATGGGGTCGGAGAGGAGGCTGTAGAGCTTCTCGTGGGCGCTGTCCCTTACCCCGCACCATCGTGCTGAATCGAAGTTCTGCCAAATCCTTCCCAGACAGATGGCCACCCACTGGCGCAGCAGGGGGTGCGGGTCGCTGAGCTGCTCCAGGCAGATGGCAATCAGGTTCCCCTGGAGGCAGGCTTCCTGGACGGGGCAGCGTGATAGACAAGTGGTCTTCCACTCTGGGACCCAGGGCCCAGGAGAAGAGGACTACGTGGGGTTGCAACTACTGTGGTTTCTCAGGAAAGCCTTGCTCAACTGCATTGCAAGATTTGCTCAGTTTTCCTTACTTTAAACCCCACAGACTTAATTCTACCCTGATAGCTCTCCTGTGGTATTGTCAGCTGCTGGTATGCTTGGGTGGCCCCACTTTCTGAGGTGACTGGCTGTCAGACTGCCAAAACAGCAGTCGCCTCTATAAACACAGTGGCTTGGGATGTACCTCTGCCCCCCTGCAATGCCAGGGGGTGAGTGACTTGGGGTGGCTGCGGCTGCTGTGGCACTCACCTGCCCTGTGGTATAGCTGTTGACAATCACAGCGAGAATGAAAGCCGTCATGGTTCTGTGTTCAGCCTGCAAAACAAGAACCAGCCATGGCAGGGATGAATGGTTCCCTGAGCAGAGTGATGTCATCTTTTTGAGTCTTTAGGACAAGGCAGGCACCTAACTAAAGTCACAATAGCCAGCCTTCTTGCTGTTTAATTTCATTCCACAAAAAAAGAGCAGCATTTTTAAGGTGACCACTTTTTCAATGGTTAATGCCACAGCATGGTCCAAGGTCAGCTTGTGTCCTCTATTAGAAGGCCATCAGTAGAGTTCACTGGTATGAATGCTGACCAGCTTGCCCCTCCCCTCTGCTTTTTTGTGAGAGTATTTGTGCTGCTCAGGAAACAGGGGTAGCAAAATGAATGAAAGTAACATTCTAATTTTTTTTCCTTCTCTTTTCTGGGCTCTATTGGATTGATCAAATGTCCTTCTTCTTCTTTGTGCCATACCCATTTGGAAATTAGCCTACTTTTGACTTTTTAACGGTGCTTTACCTTCCTTAGCCTCCCCAGCGCGGCACAGCTGGGTAGGGAAGTTCAGCAGGCAGTCATCTCTTCAGCACTGCAGAGGCCACCCTATGTTCTCAAGCTGGGCTGCGGTGAGACTGTACTACTTGTGCGGTGCTGCCCAGCCCTTGCAGGGAACCTCCCTGTGTGCGCTGGTTGCTTTCATGGTATGAGCCTTTGATAGTCATCATTTTCATTCTGACGTGCCAATGTGGATGTTTTCATTTAACTTCTCGGGGAGTCACTTTGCCTTTAAAATTGAAACACTCATTTCTTTCTTCCAATGTGGAAAGTCCTCAGCCATCACCTGTTTGAATGCTGCTTCTCTGCCTTTCTGAATGATGTGAGTGACAGTGAACTCTTTCACCAGTGTCCCTTACCCTTTCACACCCAGGAGGGACCTTCTCTGACTCTCTTACTACACATTATTTCTGAGGATGAGTAGGAAGCACAAAATACTGTTTTTTTTTTTTTTGTCTTTTTCCTTTTTATTGGTACCGGGGATCAAACTCATGACTGCCTACTTACAAGGCAGGCGCTTATGCCGCTGAGCTAAATCCCCAGCCCCAAAATACTGTTTTCTAATACAGACATCTGACTGTTTCCGGAGAACACAGGGCTTAATGTTCGGCACAGTTAAACTGTCTTACTCAGTTGTTCTAATCGTGCTTATTCATGCTGATCCCTCTTTGCCTGGAGCCCTGTGAGCTCTGCTCTGGGTGCCAATCCCACTCTTTTACTCTGTGTGTTCCCATCCTGGGGGAGCACCCTACTCTGCTACCCTGCCAGGGTCTGTAGGTGTCCCCTAGGAAGGCTTCGAGTGTGGATCCTGTGTGACCCCAGAGACTTTAAGGATCTGCATGTGGTTTTCATGATGATTTCTTGTTGTGGTTCTAACGTGTGGGCAAAGGAAACTCAGAGCTTGCATTGTGAATGGAACAGTTCTGAAGTTTCAGTGTCTCTTCGTGGAATTTTTCTTTTCCACCAGGTAGAAACAAGTAGTCCCTCTGTTTGTCCTCTATTACGAGGGTCAGGGCACGCCTTGCAGGCACCTGGTGTGGCAGAGCTGTCACTCAGGAGCACTGCCTGCACTGGGCCTTGCAGCCTTTGAAGACTGAAGGTCTGCATGGACATTGCCACCCTCGGAGTTGCCAGCGTGGTGCCTCTGCTGCCTACCAGGGCTCTCCATGGATCTGTCAGTCTCTGGCATTCAAGAATTCCCTTTCATTCAAATTTGGCTGTGTCCTCCCAGTTGGAGTAGCTGAAAGGGTTCTTCATGTCAGCTAAGCTCATTGTTTTGCTGTAAACTGCAGCTTAGTGCTCATTATCTCTTGTTTGATTTGTACAGTATTCTTATTTACCCTGGAGAACAGGGAAGTGGTTATCTCCAAACCTCATATAAAGTCTATTAAAACTACCTACAATAGGGTTTAAGAACATCACATAAGCACATAAGTATTATTTATTTTCATACACCAGTAGTGTTTATCCTATTCCTGATTTTTTTATCATTTAGTTTAGAAAGACAACTAGAGGGTACAATTATACACAAAAGTTCTTTCTATAACCCCAGTCACCTAAAGCTATGCTATACTTAAATATTATAGCAATATTAAGTTATATTATTAAATTATTTAGGACATCTATTTTGTCCTCACTATGCTAGGAACTGGAGTTAGAGAATAAAGAAATTAACTATAAAGCATTATAAGAAAGTAGTATATAAGCTTCTTATGGCTTATTTCATCTAATTTTTAAATAATTTGATAAAATAAAAAGTATTTAAAACTTAAACTTTCAAATGATTTATTCTTCCCTTCCTTCTTCCCCCTTTTTCCACTGCAGTGCTGGGTTTGTCACGCCCAGGGCCCTTGGAGGCACTGCAGTTACTGTATCATGGGTGTACGTGCACTCACTCATCCGTCTAGTTCAGTGTGCAGTGAAGGCTGCTAGATGCAAACCAAGCTGGCCCACCCCGGAGCACACGGGTGAAGTAAGCCAGTTACGTGGGGCACGGCATGCAGCAGAGTACGGCCTGGACAAGGGAGCAGCCCCACCTCCACCCCAGTCGGAGTCTACAGCTGGTGTCCTCTGCAGAGACCTCTCCAGTGAGCGAGCAATCAGGAGCCACCTTGCCTCTTGTGAGAGGAATTGCAAAGCAACACTTATGAACAAAGATAGAAGATCTTGGGCCCACCCAAAGAAAAACAAGGTTTGCTCCTTACTGGCATGTACGGGTCTGCCAAGACAGAGAGGAAGTACTTGTGACCGTTGTCCTTCACGAGGTCAGCTTGACACGACTGGAGGGAGAAAGCAGACACAGGAACAGTCATAAGGTTGGACACCTGCAGGGGGCTTTCGAGGCTTCTTGTGAAGTAGGAACAATGAGTAGGTGGGGGCTTCATCCGTCACTGCTCTCGGAAGTTTGGTTTGCATTTGACAAAACAACGGCTGCTGCTCAGACACTTCTGGGCTGAGGACACAGGGCCAGGTCTCCCATATTCTCAGAGGGAAAACGCCCCATAATGGTCTCTGAAACACCTTTTGGCCTCCTGGCTGTGGGCTGGCTGGTATGGGAGCTGCATTGAGCTCACAGCCTCTGCCAAGCCCGACCCCAAGCCCAACCCCAGGCTCAACTACAAGCACCATCCAACACCACCCCTATTTCCAAAGCCTGGGTCCCTACTGAAGCTTTATAGAGGATTTGACCTTAGAAAATAGTTGAAAACAGTTATCTGTGTGAATACGACATTTAGGAGTCTTTAAGTTTTACCTCCCAGGTATCCTCTAGAGGCCAAGTCCCTAACACAAGGAGAGCTCCTGGGTGGGAGGTGTAACATGTCAAGGGAGATCCAGGATTCTACTCTTCCCAGCTCCTCGAATCACCCTGCCCTGGTGAAGACACTTTGTGTGACTGCTGTGCGTCACACAGGTCTGAGGCCATCCACAGAGGACACTGGTTCGTCCTTGAGAGATAGGGTAACCACACCTCACTGCATGGCGACACAGGCTTGCAAAAGCAGAGGAGCCATAGTGGCTGGCCCCACTCTTGAGGGGTGCTCTTGCAAAGAGGAGTTCCCTCCTCACATCAATAAACTGAAAACACAGGTCTTTGCTCGGTTGAAATGGGAATTAGACAAGACGGAGAGGGGACACTGGTTCAGGTTGTAGCCTTCTAACCCCAGCTGCAGAAGCCAATTAAGCCTGCCAACTTTTAAGAAACACACTTCAGCGGTTCCTTGCCTTAGCTGAGGCTGCTGACTAAAAGGCGCAGAGCAGTCTTCCCTATAAAGACTCAGCCCCTAAGGCCAGCAGGGTGGATGCTGAACCGGTAGTGGGAGTGTCTTCTGGGCATAAAGTCACCTTTCTTTGTTTTCAAACTAGAGGTTCCACAAGTCAAATCTAAGCCCACACATTCAAGGGAAACTCCTTAAATCGATCTCACTAAAGAATAAAGTGTCACTAATTCATATCCTACTAATGCTGTATCTAAATCTCTAAAGTCAGAATATTTAAAGTAGTAACTTTATTGTGCCGTTAAACTAGGAGTCTGGCAATTATTAGGCATCTATTAAAAGATCTGTTTTGCTAAATGGTAATGGTACCTCTTCATAATGTGATCTCATTGTTAGTGCTCAGCAGGTATCACTGTAAGATTTTTACCCCCTGCACTCTTCCCAGTTATGAAGGCTCAGGCCAGGGCCTCATTACACTGAACAAAGCAAAACTTCAAAATACAAGGGCCAGAGAGCCACCATCAGGTGACACACTTGGGAAAAACACAGGCTTAGTAGAGAAGAGACCTGGGGATGCCAACAAAGACCAGGTGTTGGCAGCCAAGAATTTGCCAAAGCAGAGGCTCCCTAAGGGCTTTCCTGTGTTATCTGCTGCTTGCCCCAGATCAGGCACAGATGTGACATATTAAGGCCAGAGCAAAAAGAAAAGGATGGCAGAGACAGCAAAGCAGGAAAATGAAATGGCTACCTCTCCCCCACTCACTGGAACCCACTGTAATTCATGTCATCTGTGTGTCAGGATCAGGGACTCAGGACACAGAAAAAGGAGGGGAGGAAGAGAAGCATAGCAAGGAGAAAGAAAGATATGAGCATATGATTTGTGGCTGCAGTAACTACAGATGTGGCTTGCTAACAGCTCCAAGGGAGCAGAACAGAAGGGAGCCCTGACCGAGGCTCAGGCTTCCTTCCGCAGGGGCCAGTCTGTGAGCCAGAGGGAGTCCCCACCTCTGAATGCTCCGGCACAGTGTGTGAAGAGAGACCCTGCCTACAGAAGGTGAAGTCTATGTTATCGGGAAGCAGGAATACAGGATTGGGACACAAACAGGTCATCATGCTAGGCAGACCAGGTTGCAAGGGGATAGGTGAACCACACGGAGAGTCCTGTGGATGCAGGTCCAGGGGCTGACTCCTGGGTGTCTATACCTTGTCATGAGGAAGGACGGCCGCACACAAAAGGTAAGGACGTTTCCAATGAACAGTGCCCCGGGGTAAGCCCCTGGCGGGTGATCAGCATCCTAGCAGGACGCTGCCACACAGCCTGCGTGAAGACAGACGGCGGAGGCAGGGGTGTTTATATATATACCCAGCTCTTTAACACCAGCACTGCCTGGAAATGTAATACTCAAGCAGGGATTCTGCTCATAGGTCACAAGAGTTCACTGTCCCTCACAAATTCAAGCATATCTATTGGAAAGTTGAAGACGCATGCCTCCCCTTGTGCTTTTAACCCTGAGCACAACTCGCTGTGTCAGACAGGACATTAACAGCACAGATGCTTGGATTTCCATTTCTTCTCTCCTCTCTGCCACTGTGTGTGACTAGAATTCTTTCTTACTTATTCCTCTGATGGTTCTTCTTTACAGCCTCAGTCAGGGCTCCCTCCTGTTTATAGAAACATATGAGTACATACACCCAGTTATCCTCTTCTTAAACAAAACACTCACTTGTTTTTCCTTTTACAATTTTTAAACAGTACATAATAATTACACATATTTAAGAGTATAAGGTGATAATCTGATAGGTGTGACCTTGTTTTCTTAGTTGAAAAGTGCATCCCTCCTGGAGAAGGTGCGGTGTCTGCTCGTAAGAGCCTCCCTGCACTCTGCACAGCACCTGTGTGACATTCCTGCAGGCCGGTGTTGATTTATCCCGTCTCTTACAGATGCCTAGACCCTTCTGTTGAACTATATCTTTTATAATTACAAGTGATGCTGCAATGCACAAATTTCTATTCAAATTATTTCCTACATAAGCAGGTAAAGCTGTAGTGTGGATTCCCAGAAGGCAGACTGCTAGATCAGAGATAAAGGCGCTAGTAGTTTTGAAGTATACACTTCTTGGTGCTTTTATAAAGCACAGCATGTTGTAAATGTCTGAACTTTTGCCAGTTTGATAAGAAAAAAATGGTATTTCAAGTGCAGCTTCACTTTATACTTATGAAAAAATGAAGCATTTTAATAGAATTAACCATTTGCTTATTTTTCTATGAACTGTTGTTGGCTTATGTCCTATGGCCATTTCTCTATTGGATTGTTGATTTTGTTTCTTGTTTTCTAGGAGCTCTTTGTATATCACTCTTTTATCATATATATATATTTTTGCAAGTTATAGGACTTGCAAAGGGGGGGAGTGTTTTTGAGACAAGGCTTCACTATGAGGTTCAGGCTGGCCCTGAACTCATGGTGATCCTCCTGCGTTAGCCTCCTGAGTGCTGGGATTACACGCGTGTGCCACCATGTCCATCTTGTAATATAGTTTTAAATATTTTCCCACTTGAATTTTTTATTTGTATGCAGTCAAGTTTATTATTTTTGTAAGACTTTTAGATTACTTGAAGGTTAAGCAGAATTTGCCAGAGCTATTTCTACTGCTTTAATGGTTTTATTCCTTACATTTAATATTGCTAAAGTTAATTCCGGTGTTCAAGATGTGCAGCTTCCCTCTGTTAGCTTGTCATTACTGTGACATAATACCAGAGATAACCAATGTGTAAGGAGGAAAGTTTTATTTTTGACTCATGGTTTCAGTCCACACCCATTGGTCCCATTGCCTCTGGGACAGTGGCGAGGCAGCACATCATGGTAACAACATGTAGTGGAGCAAACTGCTCACTTTATGGTCCCTTCAAGGGCATCCCCGATGCTGTAAGGCCTCATAGGAGGCCCTGCCCCTTCAAGATTTGAACTCCTCTCAATAATGTCATCCTGAGGACCGAGGGGACTTGCACTCTGGGGAGACATTCAAGACTCTAACTATAGCAGCCTCTTACTTACTCTAACATCACAAATTAAAGGCTTGGTCATGTGGCTCCACTGACTTAAGCTACTATCTACAATCTGAGGTGTCCATAGGTCTCTGTGATGCGCTTTTGGTCTATTTGTCTACTGTGATCCAGTGTCACATTCCACACTGTTCTTTATTATTGAGTCTTTTTTTTTATCTTTTTATCTTATTATTGAGTCTTTTTTTTATCTTTTTGTTGGTACCGGGAATCAAACTCATGACCTTGTGCTTGCCAGGCAGGTGCTTATGCCTGTGAACTAAATCCCCGGCCCTTATTATTGAGTCTTCATGGTTAACTTGGTATCTGACAGGACTAGTTCTCCATCCTTATACTTCCTAGTCAGAATTTTCCTGCTTGTTTATTTCTCTACTTCAAGTTGAGAATAGGTTTGTCTAGTTCAAAAAAAAAAAAAAAAGCCTGCTGGTAATTTTATTGGGATTACATTAAATTTATAAATTAACCCAGAGAACACTGACCTATTTATGATGTGGAATCTTTCTGTAAAAGAACAGAGTATGTTTTTACCTGTTCAAGTTGACTTTTGTGTCTCCCAGGAATGTTTTAAGGTTTACTTCATGGTGGCTTTTCTTGTCTCAGATTAAGATTATGCCCACACTTATGACTTCAGTACAAAAGGTGTGCTCTTTTATCTAGTTGTTACTTTTGATTTCTGTGTTGTAGTTTTAAACTTTCTCCTTAGTAAGTTTTCTTAGTATTTAACTGATCCCACTGAGTTTTTTAGGTGTGAAGTCCTATAACTTGCAAACAGTAGACCTACCTTCCTTTGTTTCTTTCTTTCTTTTTTCTAACTGTGTGGTTGATGTCAGCAGGCCTCTGATACTGTTCCTGTTTTGGTGGAAATGCTGCTTTGCCTGACTAAGTATGGGGAAGCAGCTACTGATGCCAGTGTTAATATCTTTCTTGTTTTTGAGAAGACACATGTTAGCATTCTTCTGTTTGCTAATGTGTTACCGTAATAGCTTTCTTAGTTTTGAATCAT